TAAATTCTTTAAAAAATTCGTTATAAGCTTATAACGAAGTTGATATCCAGATTCTAGAATTCGTTATATCAAGAGTTTACTGTATATATATTTAATTATTTTGATTTAGTTGATTTGATTTGATTTGATTTGATTCGTCAAATATTTGATTCAACTTGATTTAATTCAATCAAATATTTGATTCATTTCGATATTGTGGAACCCTAATCATTATTATATGTATTGTTACATTATAAATTATGAATAGTTGACTCTATAATGTGATGTATTTTATCAAACTATTAAATGCATTTGATATATATATTAAGAATTAATTATATAATAAATTATATAAATATTTAAGTTTATAATTATAAAAAATTTTATTTATTAAAATAATTAAAAATTTATCATACAATTAATTATTTAAAATTAGTTAAACTAAAATTATTTAATAATAAATTAATAAATATAAAAATTTAATAAATAAATTATTAAAACTGTTAAAATAATAATATTTTATTAGAAATTTGTTAAATTTAATATTTATCTATTTTGTTAAATTTAAATAAATAATTTAATTATTTTTAAATATTATATTATAAGCTTTTTATTTATTAAAAAGTTGTAAAAAAATTAAAATAGTTGTTTTTGATAATTAACATATATTAATAAAGTATTATTTTTAAAAAAAAAAATAATAAAATTATAATTAAATTCATTTGTTTGATAATTTAACCTTTTTTTAACCTAATGATTATTTTCTAGTGATATTTTTAATTTTATAATATTAAATAATTTAATATAATAATTAATTATTTATATGTTATGCCTTAAGTACCGATTTGCCTCAGATGTTGACGGGATACTAAATATAATAATAATAAAGATAATCATCAGTAATGCTGCCTAGACATTATAAAAATGTATCGGTAATTTAGACTAGTTGACATTAGAGACAAATCGATACCTGATATATAACATATATATAAAACAGTAAAAAGTAAAAAGATACAAATTACAAAAATATAAAAATTTTAATCTTTATAATAATTATAATTTTTGTAAAATAAGTTTAGATTTAATATTAAATTAAAAATATTTTAGAGTTTATATTATTTTATATTGTTTCATAATATATATATTATCTTAAAATAAATTTTTAATTAAAATACTTATTAATAATAATTTTTTTTTTTTTATAAATATTATATTAAAATTTAAACCTAAATTAATAAATAGGTACTTTGCAATAAAAAGATATGATATTCTAAAAAAATTAAATTCTTTATAAATAAGCTAAATATGATTTTTTTTAGTAAAATTATTTAAGATTTAATATTAATTCAAAAAAAAATTTTTTTATACTTTTTATTATAAAGCTTTCAAATAATCTTATTTTTATTAATTATTAAAAAAAATTTAATTAAAAATGTAATAAATAATTTATATAAATTAAATAATTTTTAAATTTTTTAAACTATTAAAATTTTTATTAAAATTAATTAAATTAGATTAAATTATGAATTGAAGTTATATTTATAATTCAAATTAATATTAAATTTAGTTACTTTTATTATAAGTTAAAAAAATATTAATTTTATATAAAACAAGGGAACGGTATCACCGTTGTGAAGTCTGGAGCTTAAGATCACGTGAATTAATTATGTCATTATCATTGAATATGTCATTACATCTAATAAAAATAAATACAACACATTTTAGAGAGAATTTATTAAATCTATGTTGCGGACAGTTTCTTTTTTAGGAAAATGTACCACGGTATTTATAAATAGCCAATATTTGTTGTCTCAAATGATAAGTAGGCGGATAAACAAACATAATGCATAGGAAGTAATTAATCTTTCGCTAATGCTCTGGACTAATAAAAATTATTTTGAATTAATATATATATTTATTATTTAAATTTTTATTTTAATACTCTTTAAAAATTAATTTTATTATTAATTTTAATTTAAAAATTTTATTATAGTTAATTTTATAATTTCTGAACTATTAATAATTTTTCAATTAGAATCAATCCCATTTAGTCACAATATTTTATAGTAATTTTATTATAAAATATTTTCAGTTATTCAGTTACAATTTATTAGTGATTTATAAAATATAAAATTATTTATTTATTATAAAATTATTATAATTATTATAAATTAAATTTTTTAATTCTTATTATAATTCTTAATTTTTATTAATAGAATATTATTATAATAATGCATTGATTTAGTTGATTTATTAATCTTCTAATTCAATTTTAAATCATCAACTTTAAATTTATAATCACATGATCTTTAAAATATGGGGGTGCTTAATTACGGATAGATACTGTATAACTATTTATACAAATAAAATGAATACTTTATGAAGCCTAAATATTTGAATAAAAAAAAAGCCTTTACTGTAACCGTAAGTGAATTATGGGCCAAACACTTTCTTCTTCAGCGAATAACCAAGATCAAGATGGGGATGTTATAATGGTAGACGATTCGGAGAATAATACTGGTGATGCCAGCGATTTAGACTTTGGTCATAATCATACTGGAGCAACGCACTCTCCAAGGAGAGTTCGTACTCAAACTAGTCGGACTAACTCTCAGGATCGGACGCAATTTACAACCTCTTCTACGTTTGAGCATGCTCCCCAAAATGGTTCTCCGAGAGTTTTACGAATGACACCGGCACGACGCAGAAGGCAGCTCTCCAGTTTGTATCCATTTTTTCCTTCTGCAGCAACTACAAATCAAACTCAAATTCCTCTTAGCAGACCCTTAACTCGACTTCAAAGGTTGCATCACAATACTATTGAAGATGTTTCACTTGCGCCTAGGCAAACCGATGCAATAGCACCAAACTTGTTGAGACGAAATCGAACTAGATCTTCGAGTTATAATGGGCAAGAACCTTCTACAAGCACTGGGATAGCTCTTAATGGTTCAGAGCCAACACATACTTTGCCAACTTCAGAAACAATGTTTGATATTAGACGTCCTCGTTCGAGTTCGGTTGATGCGATAATTATTGGTGATTTGGATAGTGATTCAACACGGCCAAACATTCGTCTCTCTGATCGCACACGTCGATCTAACACTCATAGAGGATCTTCAACACGTCCATATTCTTCGTCTATTTCTTTGTCCAGTACATCATCTTCTAATTCAAGTTCATCAACAGCTGGCACTCAAACAGATCCTTTGGCTGCTCCGCCTACGCAGCAACGTTCAAGAAGAAGAGTTACTCGCATTTCAGCACGACGTTTTTTTAATATTAACGGACAAGATACTGAAAGCAACGTCAATAATAGTAATCATAATAACAATAATAATAACAATAACAATAACAATAACAATAACAATAACAATAACAATAACAATAACAATAACAATAACAATAACAATAA